TTTGGGGGTGCACTGAGGGGCCCTGGCGGATTTTTGGGAGGTTTTGGATGAAGGAATTGTGGTGAGGGGCATCTTTGGGTGGGCGAGGTGACAAGGGACAGCGGCAATCCATGAGGGGCACGGCTCGGTGCCAGCTGCTTGCCAAGTTGGGTGATTTCGTGATGAACCAGCCCCAGGTTTTGGGGGTGAAAAAGGAGATTGGGGAGCTGGGCAATGGCATCATTGACTTGTTTGTTTCCCGCCGGCGAGTTGAGGGTGGCTTGGAGTGGTGGAGGATCGGGGAATTGTGTGGGTTACATAAAGGAGGGGTGGCTGCAGGATCTGGGTTTTGTGCTCTTGAGGTGTAGAGGAGGTAAGTGGGTGCCGCAGACAAAGGCAGAGAGAGAGAGAGAGAGAGAAAAATCTGTCTCCTGCTCCTCACTTCCACTTGGAGCTGTGCACTGGGAACCTTGAGGAGTTGGGGAAGTGCAGGGAAGCAGAGATTGGGGACAAACCTGAGCTTTGCCTTCATCCTGTTGCCTTAAACCAAACCCAAACAAGCTGGGCTGGAGCTGTGTCTGCCCTCAGACACCTCTGCTGCTGCTTGGGGGAAATTATTGTGGCTAAATTGGGATTTTTTTTTAGGGGAAAATTGGCGCCTTCCAGCTCTGTGAGCTTCTTGTGGATGTGTCCAAAGGGGATTTGGTGTGTGACAGAGCACGGGAGGCAGCAGCTCCATTAATCCTGGCAAACTCGAGGCCTTTTAGGTGATTGTTTGGTTTTTTCTTCAGGCCCTCCATCCCCAAGAGGTTCCACAGGGCTTTGTGTCCCTGATGTGTGGGGTGTCCACAGGCATCGAGGTTTCAGCTCTGTGATCATAAAACAAATTTATGGGAGTTTGTGGCTCTGGAGCCATCATTTATCCTGTTCTTTCAGGGGGAAAAATACCCCCAAAAATACCCCATAAAACAAATTAATGGGAATTTGTGACTCTGGAGCCACCATTTATCTCCTTCTCTTGTGGGGAAAAACACCCCAAAAACCCTCCATAAAACAAATTAGTGGGAATTTGTGATTCTGTAACCACCATTTATCCTGTTCTTTTGGGGGGAAAAACCCTCCTAAAATCAAAAATACCCCATAAAACAAATTAATGGGATTTTGTGATTCTGTAGCTACCATTTATCCAGTTCTTTTTGGGGGAAAAACCCCTAAAAAACAAAAATACCCCATAAAACAAATTAATGGGAATTTGTAACTTTGGAGCCACCATTTATCCTGTTCTTTTGAAGGGAAAAATGGGAAAAATATCCCCAAAAATACCCCATAAAACAAATGAATGGGAATTTGTGATTCTGTACCCACCATTTATCCTGTTCTTTTGGGGGGAAAAACCCCTAAAAAACAAAAATACCCAACAAATTAATGGGAATTTGTGGTTCTGTAACCACCATTTATCCTGTTTTTTGGGGGGGAAAAATGGAAAAAATACCCCCAAAAATACCCCATAAAACAAATTTGTGGGATTTTATAGCCACCATTTATCCCGTTCTTTTGTGGGGGAAAAATTGGAAAAACACCCCAAAAATACCCCATAAAACAAATGAATGGGAATTTGTGATTCTGTAACCACCATTTATCCTGTTCTTTTGGGGGGAAAAACCCCTAAAAAACAAAAATACCCCATAAAAGAAATTAATGGGAATTTGTGATTCTGTAACCACCATTTATCCCGTTCTTTTTGGGGATAAACCCCTAAAATCAAAATACCCCATAAAACAAATTCATGGGAATTGGTGATTCTGTAGCCACCATTTATCCCATTCTATTGGGGAAAAAAATGGGAAAAATACCCCTGAAAATACCCCATAAAACAAATTTGTGGGATTTTGTAGCCACCATTTATCCCGTTCTTTCGGGGGGAAAAATTGGAAAAACACCCCAAAAATACCCCATAAAACAAATTAATGGGAATTTGTAACTTTGTACCCACCATTTATCCTGTTCTTTTTGGGGGAAAAACCCCTAAAAAACAAAAATACCCAACAAATTAATGGGAATTNGATTTCCTGGGATTTCCTGGGATTTATTGGGATTTCCTGGGATTTATTGGGATTTCCTGGGATTTCCTGGGATTTCCTGGGATTTATTGGGATTTCCTGGGATTTCCTGGGATTTCCTGGGATTTCCTGGGATTTCCTGGGATTTATTGGGATTTATTGGGATTTATTGGGATTTCCCACCCAAACCATTCCAGATTTTCCACACCAGGGCTGTTTGTGGATCCACAGGGTTTGGCAGCTCCTGGCTGAAATTTGGGATAATTTTTCCCTCTAATCCATGAGTTCTGTGGGAATTCTGCAGCTTTCAGGCAGATTTAATTGCACAAATCCCAATTAAAACCTTTCATTCCCAGGAGAATTCCTGAGGGAGATTTTGGGGAATTTATCCTGGTGATATTGGGTGCAGTGATTGAGCTGAGAATGGAATTTTGGGAATTCATCCTGGTGTTATTTGGAATGGATTTTTGGGAATTTCTCCAGGTGTTGGGAATGGATTTTTGGGAATTTCTCCTGGTGTTGGGAATGGATTTTTGGGAATTTTTGTGGTAGTATTGGGTGCTGGGAATGGATTTTTTGGAATTTTTCCTGGTGTTGTTCGGAGGGTGCAGTGGCTGAACTGGGAACGGAATTTTGGGAATTTTTATGGTGTTATTGGAAATGGATTTTTGGGAATTTATCCTGATGGTGTTTGGCACAGTGGCTGAGCTGGGAATGGATTTTTGGGAATTTTTGTGGTGGTGCTGGGTGCTGGGAATGGATTTTTTTGGAATTCATCCTGGTGTTGTTGGGAATGGATTTTTGGGAATTTTTCCTGGTGTCATTGGGAGGATGCAGTGGCCGAACTGGGAATGGATTTTTGGGAATTTTTCCTGGTGTTATTTGGAATGGATTTTTGGGAATTTTTGTGGTGGTATTGGGTGCTGGGAATGGATTTTTGGGAATTTTTCTTGGTGTTGTTGGGTGCTGGGAATGGATTTTTTTGGAATTCATCCTGGTGTTATTGGGAATGGATTTTTAGGAATTTTTCCTGGTGTTATTGGGAGGATGCAGTGGCTGGACTGGGAATGGAATTTTTGGGAATTTTTGTGTTATTGGGTGCAGTGGCTGAACTGGGAGTTGATTTTTGGGAATTTTTCCTGGTGGTTGAGCTGGGAATGGAATTTTGTGAATTTTTCCTGGTGTCATTGGGAATGGAATTTTGGGAATTTCTCCTGTTATTGGGAATGGAATTTTGGGAATTTTTCTTGGTGTTGTTGGGTGCTGGGAATGGATTTTTTTGGAATTCATCCTGGTGTTATTGGGAATGGAATTTTGGGAATTTTTGTGGTGGTGTTGGGTGCTGGGAATGGATTTTTGGGAATTTCTCCCGGTGGCAGAAATGGGGACAATTCCCATTCCTGCATTCCCATTCCTGCCTCCATCCCCATTTCCCTGCCTGCTGCTGAGGAATATCCTCAATTTCAATCGATTTTCCCCATCCCAACAGGGATTTTAATTCCATTTTAACCCTCCACCAGCTCATTAATTCCCTTTGCTGCAGACCCTTTTTGCCCCGTGGCAAGACTTTGAAAAATTCTGATTTTTTTTTTTAATTTTTTATATTTTTTTCCCAATTTTTTTTTTCCTGTTAAGGTGTGAAAAACGAATTTTCTCTGGAAATAAATTCCTCACCTTTGGAATAATAATGGAGGCTGAAAATAGCAGGATGGAGTTGTGTTGTCAGTCATGGGAGCAGAAATCCAATTCCACCTGCGGATGAGCATTCCTGAAATAGCAGAGGGCTTGTCAGAAACCACAGGAGATGCATTGGGAGGGGAAAAAAAGGAAAAAAAATTAAAAAATCAATCAAATCCACGGTTTGGGGAAAGCTGGGAGAGTCCTGAGATGGTTTGGGATGAAATTTGGGGGTTTGGAGGGATTGCAGGTGCAGATTTTGGATTTTTGGTGTAATTCCTGAGGCTTTGCAGGTGCAAATTTTTGATTTTTCCTGCAATTCCTGAAGCATTCCAGGTAAAATTCTCCCTTGCAATTCCTGAGGCATTCCAGGTACAAATCCTGAATTTTTCCTGCAATTCCTGAGGCATTCCAGGTGCAAATCTTCCTTTTTTTCCTGCAATTCCTAAGGGATTTCTGGTACAAATTCTCCATTTTTTCCTGTAATTCCTGAAGCATTCCAGGTAAAATTCTCCCCTGCAATTCCTGAGGCATTCCAGGTGCAAATTTTTGATTTTTCCTGCAATTCCTGAGGCATTCCAGGTTACAAATTCTCCATTTTTCCTGAGGCATTCCAGGTGCAGATTTTCCATTTTTCCTGCAATTCCTGAGGGATTTCAGGTACAAATCCTCCATAATTCCTGAGGGATTTCAGGGACAAATCCTGAATTTTTCCTGCAATTCCTGAGGCATTCCAGGTGCAAATTTTCAATTTTTCCTGTAATTCCTGAGGCATTCCAGGTGCAAATTCTCCATTTTTTGTGCCATTCCTGAGGCATTCCAGGTTACAAATTCTCCATTTTTTCCTGAGGTATTCCAGGTGCAAATTTTCAATTTTTCCTGCAATTCCTGAGGGATTCCACGTGCAAATTCTCCATTTTTGTTCAATTCCTGAGGCATTCCTGGTTACAAATTCTCCATAATTCCTGAGGCATTTCAGGTTACAAATTCTCCATTTTTCCTGAGGCATTCCAGGTGCAAATTCTCCCTTTTATGAGTTTTCCCACTTTCTAAACAAATTTATGGGTTTTCCCAGTTTGCAAATAAACGGATGGGTGAGTTTTCCCAATTCCTAAACAAATGGACAGATGAGTTTCCCCAATTCCCAAACAAATCAATAGGTTTCCCAATTCCTAAACAAATTTATGGGTTTTCCCAGTTCCCAAAAAAATGGATGAGTTTTCCCAATTCCTAAAAAAATGGATGGGTGAATTTTCCCAGTTTCCAAGCAAATGGATGGGTTTTCCCATTTCCCAAACAAATGGATGAGTTTTTGCAGCTTCCAAATAAATGGATAGGTTTTCCCAATTCCTAAGCAAATTTATGGGTTTTCCCAGTTCCCAAATAAATAGATGAGTTTTTCCAATTCCTAAACAAATTTATGGGTTTTCCCAGCTCCCAAATAAACTGATGGGTTTTTCCAATTCCTAGACAAACAGATGGGTTTTCCCAATTTTTAAACATATTTATGGGTTTTCCCAGTTTGCAAACAAATGGATGAATTTTCCCAATTCCTAAATAAATGGATGGGTTTTCCCAGTTCCCAAAAAAATGGATGAGTTTTTCCAGCTCCCAGACAAATGGATGAGTTTTCCCAATTCCCAAACAAATGGATAGGTTTCCCAATTCCTAAACAAATTTATGGGTTTTCCCAGTTCCTAAATAAATGGATGAGTTTTTGCAGCTCCCAAATAAACTGATGGGTTTTCCCAATTCCCAAAAAACTGGGTAGGTTTTCCAATTTCTAAACATATTTGTGAGTTTTCCCAGTTTCCAAGCAAATGGATGAGTTTTCCCAATTCCCAAGCAAATGGATGGGTTTCCCAATTCCTGAACAAATGGAAGGGCAGGAGCTGGGGGGTGTGAGGGATCTCTGGGGTCTCTGCCCAGCTCCTGCCCTGTCCATGGGGATGAAGCTCCTTCCCTCAATTCCCTCCTTTTCCTTTCCTTCTGCTCTGCTGGATCCCAAATCTGCTTTTTTTTTTTTGCTTTTTTTCCCTTTTTTCCCCCCTTTTTGCAGATGTCATTCTCTGCCACCTGACAAAGGAACAGAACGCAGCAATTTTCCCTAAGCTCAATAGTGGCTGTGTATTTGCAGCTCCCCTGGAACTGGAATTAATTTGGTGTGTGGGCTTTTTAATTGGCTGCTCGTGGGGAGGAGCAGAGGATGAAAAGCTGCAGCTCTGCCTGGAGCTCTGTCTCTCTCCTGGTCTCTCACTGCCAGAGGGGCTCAGGGTTGTTCTTCCCTGGTTTCTGCTGTGGGAGCCTCAGGGNTCTTAATTCCAATATCCTGGAATTCCTAAAATTTTGGAGACCTCTGATTCCAAAATCCTGGAATTCCTGAAACCTCTAATTCCAATATTCTGGAGTTCCTAAATTGTGGAAACCTCCAAGAATTCCTGAAGTGGTGGAAATCTCTGATTCCAATATCCTGGAATTCCTGGAAACTCTAATTCCAATCTCCCAGAATTCCTAAATTTTGGAAACCTTTAATTCCAATATCCTGAAATTCCTGAATTGTGGAAACCTGATAAGAATTCCTGAAGTGGTGGAAACCTCTAATTCCAATATCCTGGAATTCCTGAAGGGTTGGAAACCTCTGATTCCAAAATCCTGGAATTCCTGAAAATTCTTAATTCCAATATCCTGGAATTCCTAAATTGTGGAAACCTCTTAATTCCAATATCCTGAAATTCCCAAGGTGGTGGAAACTTCTAATTCCAATATCCTGGAATTCCTTAAACCTCTGATTCCAATCTCCTGGAATTCCTAAATTTTGGAAATCTCTTAATTCCAATAACCTGAAATTCCTGAATTGTGGAAAACTCTTAATTCCAATATCCTGGAATTCTTGAAGTGTTGAAAGCCTCTGATAGCTCCAATATCCTGGAATTCCTGAGGTGGTGGAAACCTCTGATTCCAATATTCTGGAATTCCTAAATTTTGAAAACCTTTAATTCCAATATCCTGGAATTCCTGAAACCTCTGATTCAATATCCTGGAATTCCTGAAGTGGTGAAAACTTTTAATTCCAATATCCTGAAATTCTCGAGGTGGTGGAAACCTCTAATTCCAGTATCCTGGAATTCCTAAATTTTGGAAATCTCTAATTCCAATTTTCTGGAATTCTTAGAGTGGTGGAAACCTCTGATTCCAATATCCTGGAATTTCTGAAACCTTTAATTCCAATATCCTGGAATTCCTGAATTGTGGAAACTTCTAAGAATTCCTGAGGTGGTGAAAACTTTTAATTCCAATATCCTGGAATTCTTAAATTTTGAAAATCTCTAAATCCAATATCCTGGAATTCCTGAAGTGGTGAAAACCTTTAATTCAAATATCCTGAAATTCCTGAAAATTCTTAATTCCAATATCCTGGAATTCCTAAAATTTTGGAGACCTCTGATTCCAAAATCCTGGAATTCCTGAAACCTCTAATTCCAATATTCTGGAGNGTTGGGCTGACGAGGAACCCCAGTTCTCATCCCTGCCCTGGGCTCCAAGGAGCTGGACACTGTCCCTTGGAAAAAGGGGATTTTGTGGCAATTTCCTGATTTTTGTGGCAGTTTCCTCACTGGGAATCATGCCTGTCCCTGTCCCATTAGAGCTGGACATTCTGACCCTTGGAAAAAGTGATTTTGGTGGCAATTTCCTGATTTTGGTTTGGTGGCAGTTTTCTGATTTTGGTGACACTTTCCTGATTTGGTGGCTGGTAGGGAATTGTGGCTGTCCCTGTCCCATTAGAGCTGAACACTGTCCTTTGGAAAAAGCTGATTTTTGTGACACTTTCCTGATTTTTGTGGCCGTTTCCTCACTGGGAATCATGCCTGTCCCATTAGAACTGAACTCTGTCCCTTGGAAAAAGCTGATTTTGGTGGCAATTTCTTGATTTTGGTGACAACTTTCCTGATTTAATTTGGTGGCAGTTTCCTGATTTTGGTGGCAGTTTCCTCATTGGGAATCATGCCTGTCCCTGTCCCATTAGAGCTGGACACTCTGAGCCTTGGAAAAAGCTGATTTTGGTGGGATTTTCTTGATTTTGGTGGCACTTTCCTGATTTTTGGTGGCATTTTTCTCACTGGTAGGGGATTGTGGCTGTCCCTGTCCCATTAGAGCTGGACACTCTGTCCCTTGGAAAAAGTGATTTTTGTGGCAGTTTCCTGATTTTGGTTTGGTGGCGGTTTTTTGGTTTGATTTTGGTGGCAGTTTCCTGATTTTGGTGGCAGTTTCCTGATTTGATTTGATCACTGGGAGGGAATTGTGGCTGTCCCTGTCCCATTGGAACTGAACATTCTGCTCCTTTGGAAAAAGGGGATTTTGGTGGCAATTTCCTGATTTTGGTGGCAGTTTCCTCATTGGGAATCATGCCTGTCCCTGTCCCATTAGAGCTGAACTCTGTCCCTTGGAAAAAGTGATTTTTGTGGCAATTTCCTGATTTGATTTGGTGGCAGTTTCCTCACTGGGAGGGAATCATGCCTGTCCCTGTCCCACTAGACCTGGACACTTTACCTCTTGGAAAAAACTGATTTTAGTGGCAATTTTTTGATTTGATTTGATGGCACTTTCCTGATTTGGTGGCACTTTCCTGATTTGGTGGCTGGTAGGCAATTGCGGCTGTCCCTGTCCCATTAGAACTGAACATTCTGCTCCTTGGAAAAAGCTGATTTTTGGTGTCACTTTGCTGATTTTGGTGTCACTTTGCTGATTTTGGTGTCACTTTGCTGATTTTTGGTGTCACTTTCCCGATTTTTGGGGCGTTTCCTCCCTGGGAGTGCCCCCGGCTGTCCCAGCCCCAGGGTGGGTGAAGCTCTTTGGG